CTTATATTAATATTTTCCTTAATTACCCATTCAAGCCGTCACCAAGCATTATTAACACTGATATTTCTGCAATAGCCCATCATTCTAGAAAAGACCGTACGTTATATTGGAATAATAATAGAATAATAGGAAATGAACCATAAACGAGAATATGAAAGATAAAGGAAAACTTTTCCATTTACCTAATTGATAACACACGTAGTCAAACTTGTATATAAGTCAACAAAACTTGGATACACTTTTTGAAAACATTCAGATAGTTAGATGATTCAAGTTCAACGGCGAAAATCCCTGTCGAACGTATGACACGCGATACTTTCTGTCAAGAAGACCCAGGATATAACCTCTACCACTACCAATACAGAAACAGTCCTTCTCAGGATTTTCCTGAATTAGAAGAAGAGCTATTTAGTAAATCATATCTAGTTATATTAGTTACGAACTAACAATTAAGCTTACTAACAATGACTAATAGTTAGAATGCATTGTTTCAACACTTGGATATATCCTCGGGAATTACGAATTGTTTAGACTATTTTCTTTCCAAATCTGTAAATAAAAACAAGTTGGGTTTATAAGGTTCTGCATATCTAATTTAGGCCATGTACATAATTGAAAATCGCAAATAAACAAACTAAGATTGTTTGTTTGTTTTCGAATTCTTGAATAAAGCCAAACAATTAACACCCAAATTTGACCTCGGTATAATATTGGCTCTGGTTACGGTGATGTCGCCAACTTGCTTTTTGAAATTACGCCAGATCCTATTCAATGGTATGGGCAACATTGCAGTTTTCAGGATTCTTCAGTAAAACACAAGATAGAATCCCGGGTTCTAAAAGAACCTCTACCTGGACAAACGGATTACAAATTTCTATGTTTAAAAGTAATGTCTATACCCTTTTATATAATTATCAGCCAATAATGTTCCTTTTGAATATTATAGCCAACAATTATAATAGGAATAATACCATCTATTCTCTAGATCTTTCTTGAACACGCCCCTGTCTTTGTAACCGATCATAATTCCTATTCTTGTGTATGAAGATTCCAAATATGTGAGAGACACAAGGACTAAACTAGAAATTTCTTTAGTACAAAACAGTCACACCTTGTCACAACTTTGTTATAATTTGAACCACATTAACGAGTATTGCAACGGAACTGTTGCGTAAAATGCTAAAGTTATTTATTAAAAGATTATGGGAAAATTAACAAGTCCCTCTCCCAAAAAGACAAACAAACAAAAGCATTTTTGTTATGGCTCGTCTTTAAGAAGTGTTAAGTGTCATTACCACAAGACAAAGTATTCTGGTAACAACAGAGTATATGATAAATTGTAGGTAACATTTCTAGTTACACTGCAGCCATAATGAGTATTAGACATCTGGTTTATTAAATTGTTGTCAAACAACAAGAAAGATGATTGAACATTATTTAATGTGTTAAAGATATAATACAACAGTGAGGCGTACCCTCAGTTTTACTGAATATTTTTAACGACAGCAGATCAACAAGACGTACAGACTGTTTTCCTATTAATGTCTTGTTACTACTAAGTAATAAAACACCTAATTCATTATAATTACAAGTGAGTAATACGATATATGAACCGTTATATATGTCAGTGTATTCTAGTTCAAATACAAGGCGTAGTGGTTGTTATTACAGCGCATGCATTTTAGTTGCAGCTAAATAACTGTGACGTATGGTTAGTTACCTCTATGAAAAGTATTCTAAGCTACAACTTACTTTTTTATTTTATTGTATTTTATTTTTAAAAGAATTAACTGAGGCTTAAATTTCAAATTTTTGAAGCAATCGACTACACACTTACTAGAATTTTTTGTCACACACATTACTAACCAAATTTGAAAACAGATTACTGACTGTCCACACCTGCACTCGCAAGCATTACAAAACTTATAATCCTCACTATTACTAATACTTTATTACGAGCGTAACGGTCGAAATAGATATCTTTTTTTCTCAGTGTTCCGAAGTACTATAAGAAAAATTAATACAGATTTCTGTCCCAAGCCTATTTACACCAGTCATACTCGTTTACTTGTGTTATCAACATGACTACCCACATTTTATCAACTACGATATGAAAGGATGGCAAAATTTATCAGATTAAATTTAGCACACACATAATGACAGATGGGTTGTTTATGGTACGTTATATTTATACACCTCATCGCAATTCTCGCGATCGCAACCACAAACGTAAAATTGTTTTTCTTTAACAGTTATAGACAAGATATATACTTATTAACAAATCTGATAACATATATAAGATAACATAGTAACAGACTGATATACGTCATCATATTTCATTATGTCGGTTCGACACAGAACTGACAGACAAAATACCGCTGATGTTGCTTAGGTAATACAAGATACCTATCGAAAACAGACGTGAACTTCGTGCAAGTTGCTCTGCACATGTGGTGTTGGAAGTAATAGTGATGTGTCTTGGATTTAAGAACTGCTGGAAACAGCACCAGTCCACGTTATGAATGCTAAATCGTTTATAAGTGAAACAACACAACGTATTACCTAATGTAGATGATACTTAGAGTTGCATATTCAACACCATGCTTTGCTATTTCTACAATCGTTTAGCATCTTCGGAGATTAGGAAACGAAGTCCTCCGTGGAGCACTGAGATGTCACGTACCATAAACTAACGTCTTCTTATGTTTCATGGAAGTACCAATTTCATACTCCAAAGAGGCTCATTCCAAATCCAATCACGTCGTCTTTCCTATATACTTTCTGTGTTAAAACGTAATTTTGTAGCATGCTACCATAAAAACGTGTTGTGTTTTATAACATGCTTTTTGTTATCGTTTAATGACAGATGATACGTTATAGATTACCTGTAGCCATTGAAATCATATCATCATCCCTTTTTTGTTTTCAGTGAGAGTGATGGTGGTGTTTCAAGGCTCTTAGGATACAATCCTTTTTATATCAATATCTCAGCCAAACTAACAATCCTAAAATTGCTTCCAAGGATCACTCTAATATTTAATTCTGAAAAAAATGTCTACCATATATTATGGTTCCTATAAATACTTGTTTTCTATGTGTATGTAAACAAGAAAATAAGGTGCATGTACGTTCTTACCCGATGAAGTTCTTGATAAAGCAGTAGAGCGAACTTTCTGAAACTTTGAGATCCAGTGGAGCTGGGGAAGAGGAATCAATGCTTTTAGATTCTTTTTGCTGACTCTTATCCACTACACTGACCCGGAATATCGTACTCATGATATTACGTGTTTTCTAGCCTTACAAATAGCTGCGTGAAATTGGTTACATTCACACTTTGGCTACTCCTTATCTTCCCTTTCAAGATAGAGCAGAAATCACAAGGAGCAAGTCCTGTTGTCAAGAAGTGTGGTTGAGTTGCTGCTAGGAATTTAAATTATGAACGAAAAGCGTGATAACAAATTGATGTTTACTAGAAATCCTCACTCTTGTATACTGGTACAATGAAAAAGAGTTATAAAAAACTGTAAAGCGAGATAAAACTTTAATGATAGACAAAATTCGTCCTTTCAAGGTACCGAAGATAATCAGACAAACTTGATTTCCACAAACGTCTCTATGTTTCAATAACCTGGAGAAACTATTATTCAGTAGTGTTGTCTCTTATTCAGTATTACTAAACTCGGCTGTTTCTCCAGATCACAGCTTTCTTGATCCAATTGCAGACAATTACACAATTTTACAACAGGTTTGTTGGCGTAAAAATTCTGAACAGCCTAATCATTAATCAAATAGATATCTAATTTGGATAGACATTCATACTGTATATTTTCACAGAAAAGAATTAAGGCTTAAAAGGCGGGAAAGAAACAAACAAACAAAAATAAAAACAAGCATAACTCAAACCCCAACACGAAGAACGTCTTTGGTATAACTAGGACGAACGTTCCCTACAACGACTATTTAACGGCGCCAAGCTAGACTGATGGTGAGTTTTCATTGGTTGGCGTCTAGAACCAATCCAGGATGCTTTTACGGAGAGTGAAAAATTAATAAACTAAGATTTATCTCAAATCAGTTTTCAATAAACGATTTTAGAGGAAGCATTTATTTTTCTGATACAAAAAATGCAAGGAGATAAATTCGTTAACATAGTTGATCAGAAAAGATCATTTGATTCAGATTATTAATGACAATCTAACTCATACTAATCATTACAGTATCTCAAATTATATTACAAATCACATACCATGATTCACTGAAAACTATATATTTGTGACACATCAGCTCGATTTGATGACACAAAAACGTGTTTTAGCGCAAAGCTGTACAGTGGACCATCTGCACTGTGTTTGTTACACTGCAATAGAGCGTTATAAAGCTCTCCAATTTAAAGCTGAGCTAATGGAAAACTTGACGATAGAAAAGGCTGTTTAAAGGAGCTCAAGTATATGTCTTTAGATGTGGGAGACATCAAACTGGAGATTAAGTAACTCAAGTAGTTAGCGATTCTTAATTTACTTGCTCACAAAAATTATTCCGATTTGCTTGTTTGTAATTAAGCAATAAGCTACACTATGAGCTATGTGTGCTCTGCCCACCACGGGTAAGGAAATCCGCTGTGCCACTGGGGGGGGGGGCAATTATTCCGATAAAGTCGATAAAGGTATCAGTTTAAAAAGTTTATGACAAGCTATTTCATTCAATATTTTTACTTTGCTTTGAAATTTGAATGAAAAACCTTTTCACTTTTGTACATATTGTACTATAGTCTATCATCCATAAGATCGAGATTATAAACAATTAATTATTGAATATACTTTGAACTCATAAAATTTAGTTTTTTTGTCATTATAAATAATCACAGCATTATAATAATATAGTTATGTCACATTATCCACACTTCCGTTCAGTAGCAGTTTCAGCACATCAGAATGTATTTATGAAGTTTAACAGATAATCAATAATACCTTGACGATAGTCATAAGACATGTTGTTATATCAAAGCGACATCTAACACAAAAACATTTCCACGACATGAAAAGCGAATCAAATGTAAATTTTTTACAGCTTGAAAAATAGAATGAAAACAATGAAGTGCATTTCGAAGTTAAAGTAAAGATTCTAAGATAAGTAAAATAGAAGTAAAGATTGCTTAACAAAAATGTCTATTACTTAAGGACATTAAAATTTCGAAGCAAAATTGTTTCGCACAACAAACCAGATAGTAGAGAGTATATATAAGCTGTTACTCACGTTTCTAGTTTAGACTAAATGAGTAAGTGGCGATTAAGTATTCTATTTATAAATATATGTTCCCCAATGAGTCAGCAGTAAGTTTATGGACTTACAACACTAAAATCCGGGGTTCGATTTCACGCGTTGGACAGAATGCATATATATATATATACCATTATATGGTCTTGCGCTTAAACAAACAAAGGAAAAAATTATAAATAATTTTCAAACTGATCAACACCTAAGCTCACGGATATCAATTAACTTTCCTAAAAATTCTGAATAAAATTCTTAAGAACGTTTTATTGAATTTTATATACACATAGTTAAGAAATTGGTTGTTACTTTGAAGTTTGTATTCACACACGAGTTTTCAATGAATTTTCAAACTTGCCGTTAAACACACTAAATATGTACATACACTTTTCATACAGCAATAGACTCGTAATAAAATATCGTTTCCAAGCTGTTCGTTAAAACTCCTAATCACAACCTCACAAATAGGTCGTTAAAATAATATAGTAGTTTTAAAACTAATCGTTGAAAATCTATAGTTACACGTAGTTCTTAATATGTTCTAAATATGTTCTTAAACTTGTCGTTCAGAATTATTCACATATGTAGCTTTGACGGGTCCAGTCTGAGACTTTTATGTATAATTCTTATCCACGTTTAGTAACACTATTACTTTTAATTTATAAATGCGCTTAAATTACTTCTCATTGACAAATGAATTAAGTATTATCGCAAAGTAAAGAACTGAAAATAAATAACACGAAAACTGAAGCTCACTTATTAATGCTGTCACATTTCTACCCGTAAACTATAAATAATTTATAAGGTTCTTCAATTATGTAATAAGAGATAACGAAACCAAGCACACCTAAAGTTTTTGGTATAATATGAATGTTTAATGATGTCTGGCTTAGGTTAGATTCTTTAACTACAGGCAATAGTCACATATCAACATAAGTGATTGGTTACGTATGAGGGGAAAAAAGACGAAATCTTAAATATAGAACTACTTAAATATAGAATAAATAAAGTCAGATGACAAGAAGCTTAAACAAGCATTTACGAAGAATTAAAGAAAGTTCAATATTGTTATACCCTCTCCCCAGTGACGTAACTAGGTCCTCTCCCATATAAAGTAATTGAGATACAAAAGGTAGGTCCTCCCTCATATAAAGTAATTGAGACTCTTGCATTTATTTTCCTATAATTGAAATTAGGATTCTGGTTGATTTGGGTCCACTTTTGGCTCGGTTCCTCGCAGTTGCGGGGGCTGCGGGGGCATACTTATGCCACTGCCATCCCCTCGTTCCAGTTCGGTTATTTAGAAAACATTTTGACACTCACAAATAACTAAAAAAAAGATTGGCAAGTCTCTAAATTATATAGGAAATAATTAATATTGAATATAATGATATTTCCCCACGTGTATACAGTCACAAAGGTAAGCAAAATTTTTGAAATTCTGGAAGTGAGTTCTGTATACTAACATATATCATATTTAGACATTCCGTCGAGCTTTACTTCAAATTTAGTTGACAACTAGTTACAGCCAGCTTCAACAGGCGGGAGTCGTGTTAATCCGCAAACACTGCAGGAACGAAAACGTGTTTTATTAGTTGCTAAATAGACATCTCACCCCATTTGGTAAGCAAGTTTATATAGCACAGGTTTTAAAATCTCAGGTCGCACCTAGATGGGAGGGGGGATATATATACTTCATTTTCTAAGTGCACAGACAGTATTCTGTGTTTTTTCTTTACAAATACACACGCACAAAATATTAACTTATGAATTTTTCATATTTCTTTCACAGTACTGACTTTTCTTTTGCTAACCTTTCCCCTAAAAATAAAAACAACAACAAAAACTATCTCTCTTTTTTTTTTAATCTTGAAAACTGTGTGGTCTAAGGTTCAAAACTCTCCCCACCCTCTCAGTACTGAATAATCAAATTTGTCATATAGAATCGAAGGAGAAACAATATCCATACACTCTACCCAGTTTGCAAGTGAATATTGTGAGAAACAACTTCTATATGGATTTTTAGTTTCGCTCTAAGTACATATATTTTAATTGGAACCTAAGACTTATATACTATGTACTTATATCTACTAAGATAAGGTAAGTCTACCATCCCGGAAATATCCAGTCACAGGGGATGCAGTGATTGCTAATATTCTATAAAACGTATTAGGTTTCACCAAATTTCTGGTGTAATATGTTGTTTCTAAAGCTTATTTGTGGTCTTAATAAGCTTTCAAATTAATCTCTGCTGATGGTTTCAATGCGCAGAATGCACACTCATTACAATACTTCCGATTTGGCCCAACATAATGGTCGAATTATTCGCCTGCCTGCTTCAAGACTCATAATTAACCGTAAAGTCTGTGATATAGAAATATGTTTCTTTGTTTCTGTAGTATTAGTATTCATTCTGAATTTATTCTTTGTTCTGAATATGTACAGATTTTTACATAACACGTAGACAAAAAACAACAACAGTTAAGTTAATGTTATTTCAAGTTACTTTTGTTCCTTTGTTATTTTCAAATTTGGTGATACCTGATACCACTCGTGGAGAACATTGCTTAGAGCGATCTTCTTTTCAGGAAGTCAATAGCAGTGCCCTTCTTTGGTTGTACAGGTAAAATCTAGAGGTTGTAGCCCCATTATATGGAATGAGAATGACCAGTCACGTGGTAGGTGTCGAACGTTCCGTTGGTTAAATGCGAGGTTCTTTGAGAGTATAACCCTTGCATTTAGTTAGTTCTGATTCTAATATTCACTTAGTCTTGACCTGACTTTCATCATGTAATCAATGAGAGAAAACTAAGTGAAAAATTAAGCAAGAACACATATTGTGTGTTTACCTGTTTAATAAAATATCGTTTTCATTGTGTTTTACACATTGTGTCCAGTCTGGTTATCCTTTAGTTTAAACTTCGCATGTACAAGTTCAGTACTGTTTCGTAATTCTATATCTTGAACGAACCTGCTGCTTAGTGGACTTATCCGATATAGCTCCAAAGTATTTTTAATTCACCTGAAAATACTAAACTTCCATATTGGGTGAAGTGACTTAAAACACACTACAAAATTAGCAAACACAGAAATGGTGCTGTTAATAATAAGTTACACTGAATGAAATAAAGTTACCATGAACTTATTGAAAATATGGCATCCATCACTTCTTCACAAATTTAACACCATATTATCATAATCAACATCGCGGTAGGTGTTTAGATTTGAAAACCTGTGGTGCTCGGAAATTGAAGAATTCCCCTTCAACTCACTGGTGGTGTGGAAGTTGTACGTGGAATACTTCATTTAGAAGCAACAACAACAACCTACAAACATACAAACACATAAAAAGAAAGCAAGGAGATCATACGATCCAATCTGGAGACGAGGCAGAAATAAGTTGACGCAATTCCCAAGAACTGGATGTGGGTGGAAAACAGGAGTACTCCGAGAAACACTTAAGCTTTATGGGTGTTTTTTCTGTAGAGTTTCTGGTACCACTGAATGCTTTCATGCTCAGTACATTGCG